CCATACAGACTGCAGCTGGTGCATGGCCATGGAGCATTGCAAATAGGTCATTCCCACAAGAGCAAAACCAGCAGGAACCACCTACTATATCCACTCAGCAATCTCAAGCATCTACAACAACAGCAGCACTACCAGTAAATAAGGGAGCAAAGGGCAAGAGCAAAGTTGTTTAGTTCAATTATGTACCCTTTGTAGCTTGTGTTTTAGTGAATGAACAATTTGTAGTATCAACTTCTATCTGTAATGACTTATTATATTATTTCTACTAGCTTTTGGAACAATTGCACAACTTTACATTGCAATGATATGAAATTAAGTCAGTTGTCTCATAAATAATTGTTACATTATTTATTCATAGCCATAGTTGTTACAATTTCAGCTTAAGGTTACATAACCACAAATAACAGCAACAAACCTAAGCTTACATTAGCACAACTAACCTAAGCTTACATTAGCACAGCTAACCTAAGCTTACTTAAGCACAACAATCCTATGCTTACTTCAGCACAACTAACATCATCCCTAGCATCATCAAAACACAACAAATGACAACTCCCACAGCTACACACCCAAACCATTTCTTGTTCTGCTGCCTTTCTTTAGAGTACCTCTTCCTATCACCATTGAGAGCTTTGCACTTTACCTTCAAGTTGTCATTCTCAGTCAGGAGGCACCTTCTTTGTCCAGTAAGATCCTCCACTTCTCTTTGCAGTGAGCTTATCTCACCCTTCATGAGGTTTTTGTCAAGGATCAATTGGTTGATCACATCCCTTTGCCAATCAGTCCCATCATCTACATCCACCCAATCAAACCTCTTGCAGCCCCTTGTTTCAGTTTTGGGATCATAGAATTTGCAACTCAAAAACTTTCTGCCTGGATTCTCTCTTGTCCACGAAGTTAGCCTAGCCATGGGAATACTACAGTCACACTTCTTGTATTTTGAGGGTGAGCACCTAACCAAAGCCATATTTCACTGCGTATTTACAACATTAAGGATACATTAAAACATTAAATACTATAATTACCCACCAACACTTTCAATTTCATGATTAACACACCCAATTAAAATCCCCCAATTTAACAATACTCTCAAGAACCCTAATTTATTTTCAAGAAATTAAGTATCAAATTACACCCACTACAATTCAATTAAAGCCAACACATCATTCCTATGTACTAATAAAGTTTCTAATTAATCATATAACTGAAGATTACTGGCCTAAATTGTTCGATTAAACCAAATAACTAACCTTTTCCGCTGCGCAATTCTTCCCTATTCAACCCAGCAATCACCAATAAACCACACTGACTGAATTTGCTTTTGATTGATTGATTGAATTTGTGTTACAATTTGAAGAATTTGTGTATTAATTTGCTCCAACTGATACCAGAACGATTGCAATTAAGGCAAAGCATGAAGAATCGTATTTAAATAGGAAGATAAAGGAAGTAGCCGTTGGAGTGGACCCCACTTCACGGAAACAGTAACAGAATAACACCAATGGTAGTTAATCTAACAGTTCATGTGTTTGAGTGGTGGTAAAATAAAAAAAAAATCAAGGGGTAGCAAATGTGAAGCAAGGAGCTTTCCCTAGTACCAAATGTCAGATTTTCCAAAAATTAATTCCAATACAATGACAAAACAACCAAACAAAAATTTTAAAAAAAAAGTAGATCAGAGAAACTACAGAGGCATGACTAAACAAATTAAAAAGTATAACAATAGATCTAAAATCTTAATAAGAGATAGTAAATTATTTGTGAAATTAATAACAAAAACTTAAACACAAATGTAGAGGAAATCAATGAATACGGGATATCTATTAGATTAGAACTATAAACTTACCAATGACTCTAATTCCCCTAAATAGAAACTAAAATTGATAGTTATTATTACCCCTTAAATTTCATATATGAAATCGAATATAATAAAATTAACTTATTTATTGCTTGTGTTTCTTGCTTACCTATGAATCTCTATCTTTCATGGACTGAAATCCATTGGCTCGGAGAAGGCATGAATGAGGCGGTGAAAAAAGTGCATCTGTGTTAGTTTCTCGGAGCCACAACCACCAGCCCTAACACCTACGCAGACACCGTTATCACCACTATTGCGCTGCTAGGTCCTTTCCTAACCCTAATTAGCCATAAAATCATTGAATAATCCATGAAGCATATTGTAAAAACAAGAATTTCTTTTTTTTTTACAACAGCACAAGAGACAAGAAAAACTAAGTAACAAAGCTAGAAAAATTAACTCTACACCCATTAGCAATCAAGTGTGCCCTATGCACTTGGTCTCTACTCACCTTCCAGACCACACAAAAATCTAAACCATTTGCCTCCCTTTTGATATCTCAAATGGTCCATAGAATGTTGATTTCAGGGTGTTGTTGGTTATCAAGGATGCTAACCAGAATCGCGGAGTCCGAGAAGAGCACTATTTCCCCCCAGGTTTTAGTCTTAGCCCAACTAATGGCCATGAGGCAAGCTAGGGCCTCCGCATGAAGAGCTGAGTTTGCTTTACAGTAGTGTCCTCCCCCTTCCTGAAATTGGCCATTTGTATTAATAAAACCCCAACCCATGCCTGCGGTTCCTGTATCCTTCTACCACAAACCATCTAGAAGAATCGTCATTCCCTGAGAACAGACCCCATCTGCCTGGAGTTTGAAAACCTCCCTACCTAGCGAAGCGTAGTGAAAACCTGGTGGTTTAGGGCCACACGCATCATTCTGATGATTGATTGCCTTGCTTCTAAAGATCTTTAGGTCTTCCCTTGCTTTATCAAGATGTCGTTGAAGATTGGTCGTATCACCATCATCTCCTCTGAAGACCTTTCCGTTCCTATTAAGCCAAAGGCACCATAAAATCATTATGAAACTGGAAATTCTGTCACTATGAATACCATCCTCGCTATAAAAGAGCAGGATGTATCTCTGAATCCATTGTCGTATTGGACTGGATTCAGCAAATTGCAAATTAGAGCTGAAACTGTTATTCGCCCATGCATACTGAGCCATGTTGCACGTCTGAAACAGATGGTGAACATCCTCTACTCCCTCCCCACACAAGTCACAACCCACCTCTATGGAAATCCCCCTATGGTGCAAGTTAGCCTTTGTTACAATTCCATTCATAATCACCTTCCATATGAACATGCTCCATTTTGGGGGGATATGAAGGCGCCATAAAACCTTACAAAAAACCGGGGAGAGCCTGCTGTCAGTTACAGTTGCTTTCGTTCCCTAAAGCATACCCCGTCTTAGTAGTATATTTTCCTGATTTGTGGTGAGTCCAATATAAGATGTCTTCATCTTAAGCTTCTGATAATTCTAGGTTCAGGATCTCTTGAGCACTATCCCAATCGAAGTAATTTCTCACTCCCTGGATATCCCACCTCTTAGGTTCATGAAGGATTAGATCACTCACTAAGCCCGATCCTATACCTCTTAAAGGCCGACTGGAGGCAATCACAAGCACTTTCCCATTTACCCATTTCATATTTTCCAACTTTATTGAATCCCCTGAATCCACCTTCCAAGCAAAGCCCTCCAAAAAGGTACCAGTGACTCTCTGTAGACCCCTCTTACCCCATGAGACATTACCCTTTACCCTATCAGTCAGTGTTCCTGTATTCAGAGGGTTCGTATCCTTTTTGTATAAGACTTTAGAGGCTAGTAGCTGGGGATTGCAGTGCATTCTTTGAACCTGTCGAAATAACATTGCATCATTTAAAGTGCTTGCAGATCTAATACCCAATCCACCCAATTCCTTCGGTAGGTGAATGATATCCTTCTTGACCCAATGCATGCCCTTTTCCCCTTTCGAGGTCCAAAAAAATCTAGTAATCATGGAGTCTATTGTATTGACAATGGAAGCTGGCAGCTTGAAGCATTTCATCACGTGAGATGAAATACTAATGAGGACTGTGTTGATAAGGATCAACTTTGCTGATTGGGACAAATTCAAGGAGCTCCACCCCATAATTTTTGTAGCCACTTTATCCACTAGATAACGGAAAAAGTCAGCTTTCTTATGTGCTAAATCAATTGGGGCACCCAAATAAGTCCCTAAATTATCCTTGCATTCCATCCTTAAGATAACTTTAAAACTGTTCCTGTCTTGCTCCGAAGCAGACATACTGAACTTGATGAAGGATTTATTAAGATTTAACTGCTGCCCTGACACTTTTTCAAACCGAGCCAGAAGACTTGCGATCTGTTCACATGAAATGTTAGTAGCTTTAAAGAAAATCATGGCATCGTTTGCAAAAAACAGATGAGAAATAGAAGGAGATCTTCTTGAAACCTTGATCCCCTGAAATAACTGTATGTCTTCTGCTAAAATGAGAATTCGCGATAAAACATCCATGCAAAAAAGAAACAGATATGGAGATAACGGATCCCCCTGACGTAACCCACTAATCCCTTTGATTTTAGCCTTTGATGGTGAATTGAGAACATCACATTTTTTATTTCTAGATAAGAGAAAGGCCTAATCATTGCTGCCACTTCCCTATCATCTAGCTGTGGGAAAGACATCTCACGGAAGAGGAGGTCAATATTATCCTCTAAGCTTTCTCTTAGTCCCATGTCTGGATTAAACACCTTTTTAAGAGAGTCTTGAATCAGAAAAGCTACCTGATCTTGCCCTGTAACCCATATATCATCATCATTACGAAGAGTGATAATTTCTCGTTTTTTCTGTTTTTGCTTGACTCTATTATAAAGCATTGGCGAAGGCATATATCCTTCCCTTACCCACTTCTCTTTAAGGCGTTGTTGCAAATAGTGAAAATCCAAAGCACAATTCGGAATTAACTCATTCACCCCAAGAACATATCCTTCCCCTTCTCTTATTGAAGTTACAGCTTCCCCTTGTCGCGCTAGATTATTCAAAACACTTCTCCAATTTACCCCCCAAACAGTTTTATTATCCAAGCACCACTTCTGAGCCTTATCCCGAAAAGATCTCAAGTGGCTTGCCAACATAAACATGCTTTAACCATTAATTTTTCTCATCCAAGTATCCGAAGTTAACACCTTTATCTCACTAAATCGAAGGCACCATCTCTCTAGTTGATACGGCCTATTTGCCTTGGGTATTGAAGGTTCCAAGTCATATAAAACTGCAGCATGATCTGAAACTATAATCGGCTTGTGGAAGACACGACCATCTGGAAACTCAACAAACCAATTGTTTGTACATAGAGCTTTATCCAATCTTTCCATAATAAGACCTCCACTAATTCTTTTGTTCGTCCAAGTAAAACGTGGGCCGGAGAAGGGAATATCCATGAGTTCATTTTCCAACCTCCAATCCATAAAATCACCAAGACCCCGTATGCTAAGGGAACCCCCAAGTTTATCTTGCAGGGAGTCCACTTGATTAAAATCCCCAATTAAAAGACAATTAGGAGTTAAGGAAAGAAAGGTAGAAAGCTCATCCCATACTCTAGATCTTTCCTCTATTTTGGGCTCTTCGTACAAAAACAAAATATTTCTACTACTTTCATTAACTTCTTTGAGATTACATAGAATATAATTAGGAGTTAAGGCAATGCAACTAAAATACCCATCATACCAACTGAAAACTGCTAACCCGCCCCTAGTACCTTCCGCGTCTACTCCACAAGAAAAATTTGGAGTAAACGGATTAACTAAAGATTTTACATCAACAAAAGACATCGTTGTTTCCGCTAAAAACAATAAAGTAGGAAATTTATTAGTAATAAGCCACACTAAGTACGGATGTGTAGGGGATAGTGTGTCATTGAGACCCCTACAATTCCATGAGAGTACTTTTATTTATCCATCGGGGGCTGGTCCGGTGCAGCCGCCTCACCCAAACTTACATCCATTTCATCCAAGATAGCTTGTTAAACCTCGACATCCATATCATCAAAATCTATGTTGGTCGGTTGAGAGGTAACTTCTTCATTCCTCTTTTCTTCGAAGGGCTAGCTGATGATGATGAGGTAGATTATCCCCACTTGTTCCTGTTTTTATTTTTTAGCCGAGAAACTCGAACCTCAACCCCCCATTGCTTTGCCATATCAATGTCTGAGATAGATTTTGACCTGAATTCGTAACCCCCTCCTCTATCTCTCTGCCAAAGTGTAAATCCCCCTTTCTCAGACCACCGTTCGAGAGTTTGGCGACGCTTCTTGACCACCCATTCTATGTCATTAGAGCATTCCCGAACTGACCCATCGTCGCATGATCTCGACTCATAATGAATCTCATCTCGCACCCTTTTCCTCGGCCATCTCCCAACATTGTCCGCTGAAAAAATGTTACAATCGTTCGCTCGATTTTGCTCCTGCGAGACTGGTGATTTTGGCGGATCGAATTCAACCATTGGCATATGGGGAAATTCTGGCTCAAAGAATGGTGGCCAGTCTTGTATAGGTTCCGGGTGCACTCGAGAAGTAGCCCTGTTATTTCTTAACGAGTGCACCGACCTCTTTCCTGCTTCAGTTATGTTTCTAGCATAAGGGAGTAAATGAACAGGAGGAGAGGAGAGACGAGTTACCATGGGTTGAGGCGGTGGAGCAAGCAGCCACTGCGCTGAAGTGGGCTAACTTGCCTCCCCCGAGGTCACAAACTCTTGATTGGTGATGTCTTGTAGCAGCCCTGTTGTTTTGCGCTGATTTAATTGTGAGAAAGGGGTTGAAGCCCAATTTGAGATACCCAAAGTTTGAAAGAGGGTGGGCCCTTGCTGACTTGCCCGATTTGCCGCATTTGAGGATTCTCCCACCTCAAATGTCGAGTTCGCAAAACGCGAGTTGCTGGAAGGTGGGAGATTAGATTCTTGCGTGAAAGAGAAAGTCATGTTACCCCTATTTGGCTGCTGAGATGGGGCCCACCTTGGGAATGTTCCTTGTACAATATGTGGCCATCCGCCCATATACACAACTTCTGGGCTCTCTTCCCTATCGTTCCTAGCCAACCCATCATGATGAGATGGGTAGAAGTGAGCATATGGGTCACCATTCAGCCCATAATGCCTTCCTGGTGACGGAGTTAAACTCGGGGCAAAGTCCACTTCCCCCGAATTTTGCGAATCTTCTTCCATCTCCTCATCCCCCGAAAAGAACACCTCCGTATCATTCGATGGAGATGACTGATCGAACTCAGATCCTGTGATGTCATTGTCTCGTTGGCGACGAAGCTCCGCATAGAGATCCTCGGGCTCTTCCAGGCGGCGCAAATTAACCGCCGTGTTCCTGAAAATGTAACGATCTGGCAAGCCACGAATCATATTAGTATAAATAGGTTGATCCATTGGACCATACAACACTCTCAAACCGCTTTGTTCCCTAGCATCCATGCGTTGCCTTAATCTTCGTCTCGCAACTTGAGACGTAAGGTTGCAGCGCCTAGTTGAATGGCCAACCATTCCACACTGCTTACAGAATTTGAAAATGCCTTCATACCTGAAGTAGACCCACACAACTTTCTCTTTGGATACCAGGACAAAGCAGCCCGGTACCAAAGGTTGTGATAAATCAATTATCATACGAGCTCTCAGCTCTGAAAACCTGGGTACTCGATCACTTATTTGATCAAGCGTGACTATGTGACCAATTCGCTCGAAAATTCGACGAGCCCATTGTGAAGTTAAAAAGGGAAAAGGTAAGCCGTAGATCCTTACCCACAATTGAGCCATAGAAAACTCAAGATGTTGCGGAACATCAAGGGGTTGGTAGCGTCTGAAGTTGATGACCCTACCATCAAAAATAGCCGTGTATTCTCTGATAATCCCTTGACGGTCTAAAACTTCCTGCACTCAAAAAGAAAATAAATCCCTATTTTATGGACCCTTATATCTCCACGTCTAACCCATCTAGAATTAACTACGTGTTGAACATACTCCACGGAAGGTGGATTATGCCCAACGAAGCTTCCAATCACACACCAATTGTAGTTAATTCTATCATGGCGTCGAATATTGTCAGGAGTGGGAACAAGATCCCCCATCCTAAAAACTGAATCAGGATTATTATTCTCCATTCCAGAGAATAATTAAGGACAGAACAAGAAGAAGACAGAAAAAAACAGAGAGTATTTAATGAAGAAGGAAGGAATATGCAAAAAAAAAAAACTAAGAATTCCAAAGGGATTTTTTTAATAAGGCTAAAATCAAATTAAAAGGGACTATAAATGACTGAGAAATATAGGGGAGAAAGAGAATAAGGGAGGCGGATAGATCAGGTAAGTAAAGAGTAGGGTTAGATTTGCTACAGTAAAAACTATACTTGTACATATGAAAATAAATAAATAAATAATAATAATAATACTCCATATATAATGAAGTAACTTCCCTAATTAAACATGAAAATAGAGGTCAAATCCCTTAAATAAGGTAAAAGTATTACGTGAACAAAGTATAATATATAATTGGAGACTTAACTTATTTTTTCATTAATTAAGCTATACCCCTAAGGTATTCGAGTTTATAAGGTGTACCTATACTTTTTCAAGTTTCTAAGTTGTGCCCCTCAACTCACTACCATTAATGAATGGTACCCTCCTTAGGACTTCCACGTCACCTAAAGTTAACTATAAATTTAATAGAAAGATGATAAAAGGTAAGGAAATGGTAGGAGAAAGAAATCTTAGCCACCGCAACCCTAATAATGAAAACTGAAGCCACGAAATCACACTCTCAAATAACTTTTAAACAACTAACAAGGGTACATTTTAATATTGATAAGGAGTTGAAGGGCACAGCTTAGAAACTTGAAAAAGTATCGGTACACCTTAGAAACTCGAATACCTTAGGAGTATAGCTTAGAAAAACCCTAAAATATATATTTTTATATGCTAACAAGAATAGAGAACGATTAGGAACTTAACTGTTCTATATTTATTACTTTACATAACGCCTGCAACTGATAGACGTTCTATATAATTGTAAAAAACGTCCATCCTACCCTAACCGTTCTATATCAAGAGTTTCATATTCTAGATTTTGTTGTAGTGTTTGTTGTTGGGGCGCCCTTGGCTTCATGACCTTAAGGTCGTTCCTTCATCCCTTAATCAACAAGTGAAGGCCATATTTGGAGGAAATCATATCACTATCAATGCTTCTCCAATTTTGGAATACCCATAAGGAAAGGAGGAATGTAAAAAAGGGACGGAGGGAGTATTAACTACTATTATTGTTGTTATTATTAATATTATTATTATTATTATTAACACTATTATCAATGTTATTATTATTAATGTTGTTGTTATTACTATTACTATTACTATTACTAAGTGCATATACCATTGATTTAGGTGAGTGAAAACATAAATATATGTATACCATATTTAATATATGTTAATAAAGAAAGATAAAAGACAACAATTTACTTGTATTTATTTCACAAAAGTTTTAAAATAAAATGATTTAATGAGTAATAATGATTTTACTCATAAATTTGTCTTAATAATATATTTTTAACCCTAAAAATAATAATGATATACAAAGTACTACTTGAAAACAACCTCTTTTTTTTAATTCTTAAATTGTATGGGAAGATTTGAAAAATAATTCGACTCAATGAACTAACAATCAATACCCACATACATATAATGTTTCTACACATTGTGATTCTAATATCAAATGTTTATAAAAGAAATTTTTATTAATTGTTATTATTATTATTTATTTATTTGAAAGAATTGTTATAATTATTAGAAATTATTAATTAATAATATTATTAAATATTAATTCTTAATAGTTTGAATTATTAAATATTAATAATGATAACTATTATTATTAATTATTATTGTGATTAATAAATATTAATTATTATTAATATTAATAATTATTCAAAATAATAAATTATTATCATCAATACAATATTAATTATTATTATTATTGAATATTAATTATTATTATTGTTATTATTAATTATTATTTGAAAATAAAGCAGAGCATAGCAGCTCTAAAGAACGGGGACTACGCCTCTATTCAAACAAAGAAGAAAGGGCTCGTTTGAGGGGGGAGATAAGGGAAATCCCTCAAATGAGTCCCATGAGGCTTGATCCCTATACCTCAGGGTTACGAGGTGTGAGCGATGCTACTACTCCATCACCTCAATATTATACCTACTACTCTGTAATACTCCTTGGCCAATGAACATTTCTCTCTTATAGGCTAAAACCACTCCGTAATTCATTACTCATACTCTTGGGAATGTGATGTTTTACGTATCACAAAAAGATATTACAATTCAGTAAAAGTTTCTAAAATCAAATTTGTGTAATGTCTTTGAAAAGTGTATTGCATGTGAAAATGTGAAACTAAAAATAAAACGATTTTTTTTTCCATTAAAATGATGTATTGATCTCATATTCTCATTATATCACTATCTTGTTCACCGAAGTTTCTCACCCTTGTATACATTTTTTTTTTAATTTGTTCTCTTTCTACTAAGTAACATATTTAGCTTATTAAAGACTATTTTCAATTTTTCCTTAAAAAAAAAAAAAAAAAAAAAACTGTTTTCAATTTTGTTAATCTAGTAATTAATTACATATTAAAAATTTAGTCATAAGAAAATATAATTTTAAATTAGAAAATATAAATTCTAACATATTAGAAGTATATCGATTTATGTACGTGCATGTTTACGAATATTTTTACGTTATTTGTTCATTTATGAATAATATATATGAAATTTGTTAATGAT